CTACTTTTTGAAGCGCCACAAATCAAAACACTGAAGAGCTTCAAGGTTTTGAACATACAGAGAGTTTCACTTAAAAAAGCAGGGAGTATGCACGTGTCTACGAATTAATTCAAGCCTTTATAAACAAAATTAAAATGTTATACCACCTGCTAGTCATAACACATGCTGTGAAAGCATCCACTGATATGGTCTTCCAATAGCTAGGTTTTGTGGAGGTGTTTCCTTCACAGACGTAACATTAGCAGCAGGGTGAATTAACTAACTAGGACTTTCTTCTTACATAGGCCTAACTTTTTTCTCCTTGCGTCTTTATTTGCAACGACAAACCCTACAAACTGGTATGCAGAATGCTATTTTCCTTTAGGCATTATTCAGTTTGAAAAGCTCTACATACTTCAATGCATTACAGATTATATGATAAAAATTAGGGTTTTTTTTTTAAATATAGTATTTTCGCTAATAAAAATACCTATCTTGTCTACACGTCCATTCCCCCAGGCATGTTCCATGATCCCAGGAACAGCCTGCTATACAGTCTCCCCATTTCCTAGCATTAACAAACTGCCTGCTGGTAGAGGGGAGAGGAAGAAGGGAAATGGAAAATTTCCAGGATGATTCCTCTTAGAGGCAACCAAGCAAATAAAAAATCCTGGTACTTAAAATTAAATCTGAATTATACAAGAAGTAATAAACAAAGGAAAAGAAAACTGGAATTGTACAAGAAGGTAAAAACTCAGGAGCAATTTTTTAAAATGTGTACAAGGAAGATTTCATTAGAAAGAGCAGCAAAAAAAGAAGGCAGAAAAACAAGCACAGCGGAAGACAACAACTGGAGCCTGGAGTAGCAATGGAGACGCAGAAATAGGCAAACAGCAGCAATAAAAACTGGCACTATGGGGTTTTACGTCCCTCACTTCTCACTGATCTCCATACCAAATTTCATCATTTGGCTAAACAAATGAAATAAGGTTTTCTTCTCTGCCAGCACCACAAAGCCTGGGATTTGATATCCAAACTGAAATGTCCTCCTCCCTTTCATCTCATTGATAATGAAGGTGAAACTAGGCCAATACAGCTATACGTTTGTAGCTCTCAGTACTCTGAGCTTATACTGAGAACCAGCAAATACACTGCTGTCTAACAGGGGCCATGCAGATATTACCTTGGAGGCAATTTGCCACACAGTTTGCTTAGGTTAAGAAGGTCAAGGAGTAGAGAAGCCGGTGGCACAGGAATTCTCCCCTGGAAACGAATGGTGCTATTTAGCCTCAGTAAAGGGTAGGTATGCCAGTTCCCATAAAGCTCTTCTTCCCCTTCTGGAGAAGGGGAGATAGCAAAGACACCTCCTGTCAGGCTGAACTGGCCTTTTCCATTCACTTACAAAGCACAAAGTAGTTTTGGTGCAACAAGGAAAGCAGCTCACTGCAACTGCCGAGCTGTAAGGGAGTGCATAATTACACCTGCAGAACCTCTCATTATTCATAGCAATTATCAAGATGAAAAGAAGCTTATTTGACTATAATCTAGATTTGTTCCATAGAAAGAAAAAAAACCCTATGAATTTAATATAGAAATCATTTGAAGATGTAATGAATAAGGAATCTGAAAACACTGGTCTCCCATAGTCACTTTTTTAACAGCAGAACAACACTTTTTCAGTGTTTCAGAGATGAGCTATCTTCCTGAAGTACTTTGAAGGCTTCCACAACCCTCACCTCAGTAATGCTTTCATCCTTACAATCCAAAGGATCCCCAGATACCTTATAAAGCACCTATAATATTAATTTTTTCTCATCACTGAAGCACACATCACCTCGGGGTGAAACGCAACAGCTTAATAGTGCGTACTGACTCAAAACAAGAAATACCAAATGGGATTCCTACCCTGACTGCTCGAAACCAATAAATTTCTACTGCAATACGTTTAAGACCCTCTAGAAGTTCAAAACAATGGCAAAAGCAAAAGGCAAGATGTCCACCTCCAATGAGAAGTGGATGCAACATGAAAAGTAGGTGATTCAGACTTAAAAACATTTTTTAAAGCTTGTTAAATTTGAATAGAAAACAGAAATTAGAGACCACTAAACCTGATGTCTTGCAACACAAAGATCCATGGGGATAAGCGTAGCTATTCATTTCCCCTTTCAGAGGACTTTCTTCAGATCTATATATGCATTTACTAGTCGTGGTCATAGACATGCCGTCATACGCCAACACATATTGATGAAAACCACACTAAGACTTCACCTTTCTCTCAAATCAATAAAACTGAGGTGTGCAACCTAGTCCAGAGTCAACAACAAAATGACTCAAGATACAAAAGGCACATCATTCAAAAATCAAAAAAGCTGCTTTCAACAGCTTTTTCAAGAAAGCAGCAGAGACTCATCTTGTTCCAGTCCCAGCAAATACTGAGGAACGTAACAGCTCTCTCCGATGATTATACCAAGAGTCTTATGATACTGGTGCCGTAACCAAAGGACAGCTGCTAGAGAAAAGAAATTACAAGAGAATCACAGCTTTTGTTAAGGTAACGAAATGAAAAAGTTTCCACCTTTTATGATTACAGACAAAAGCTTGAAAACATGGCATAATGCCTGAAGGCACAAAAGCAGATGGCAGAAAACAGCAGCTCAAAATATGTTATTACCAAAACTTTGCTAATACCATAACTTTCAGAGGCCTACTTCATGATCACTTAACATTTGGAGAGTTGTTACTGCAGTCCCCGATTATAAGATTATCTGAAATGTGTTACTTTCAATAGAGACAATTGCAGTTGTGTGTTAACAATAGAGAGAAAATGGTGCAGTATTTGCTACTCAGGAACACAGATCTTATTTCACAATTAGTGTCATATTCAGCATCTTCCAACCCCAGAGCATCAAGGAAATACTTAACACCTATTAACTACGCTGTATTCTAGCCATGAAGTGTACTACTGCTGCCTCACTGCTGGACAGGAGGAAATGATGAGAGCACTTCAGAGATTATTTTAATTTCCACAGGAAAGAGCAACACAGAGACTACTGATATCCAGCGTGTTACTTGTGTTATTTATACATCTACCTCCCCTTTGAACAGCTGTGCAGGCACACACAATGTTTAGGTCTCTAATTGTTTTCAGGAATACCTGTTCCATCCAGTGCCCACTTTCCCCACAGCAACGCAAGAGCTGGTTCCTCATCCTACTGAGAGTAAAGTCTGCCTGCCAGACACACACTTCTGACCAGGGCTCTTTATAACAAAATTATTTGCGCTACCAGGACAGAGGATTCACTCCCAAACAAAAGCCAAGTCCATAACTGAAGCTGTCACTGCATACTCCTAATAGGGACATACCTCCTAATTACAACTGGCTCTGCGTTTCCCTTCCATGTCCCAAACACACTACATGTTATACTTGCAACATCACAGTTTTACTGGGATATCCTCTATGCAGAGCTCACGTCAGCTTAGCTATGCAAGTAGATCTCTTCCCTCACACCCTTGACCAAAGAGCTATGCCAGCCAAAGCTAACGGACTATACCTTGCCCATATATAAATATAGATCAAGGAACTAAATCATCTTTGATATGTGAACTCCCAAAGTTTTGAAATAACAATTCTGAACCTCAGTAGGACAAATTTTAGCCAACTGATAATAAGCTTGGTTTCCCCTCTCCCATTGATTCCCACAAACTCTTTAAAGGTGAGATGGCCCTACTCCAAGTTATCTTAGCCTTGTGGATGAAACCACATCACAATTCCAAGGCAGCCCTCTGAAAACATCTAGAGCCAAAAGTGGGACAAAGATGCAAAGCAAAACATATAAAACAACTAGAGATTTTATATTAATGCTGAAATAATAACTTAAGGTATGTCTTTAGCTGTTTGAGTAAACCGTTCAAACAAGGGGCATCCCCTTTCTCACAGGCCCGGTTTTACTATCCCGAAACAATGAATTAAATCACCCTCCCTATGACCCTCTAGGAGCAGCCAAGTGACAGGAGTCTGCGAGGCGCAGGCGAGTGATCGCACCGCAGAGGTGCGTTTTGGCCTGCAGCAAGGCGAGAACCAAGAAGGCAGTTGTACCAAAGGAGCTCTAACCCCTCAAAACCAAGCAATAAATACGGATAAAACTAAAAATAAAAGGGGGGGGGGAAGGGAAGCCCCACAG